GCTATTGTCTGCCAGAAAAGTATATGAATGTCTAAAGCTAGTGTCCGCAAGTCAGTATATGAAAGAGTGACGCTATTGTCTCCCCGACAGTATATCAAAGTATGACGCCCAAAATCAGTTATAATTATACGTTTTGTTCCAGCAGTATAATTTACGTGTTCTGCCGAAATTATGAAAGTATGAGCTTTTTTGCGTCAGTTATCAAAAGATGACGTATTGTCTGCGTCAGTATATATGTTGGTATGGTTGGTCGTTATCAAAAGTATGACGTATTGTTGCGTCGTATATAATGTTGACGCTATTGGTTGCCATCGTATAAAGTATGCGTATGTCTGCGTCGTTTTTAAAAAGTTGACGCTATTGTCTGCCAGTTTCAAAAGTAGCGTTTTTGCGTCGTTTTTTGTATGACGTTTGTTGAGGCGTTTTTGAAAAGGGTTTACTATTGTCTGCCAGTCAGTATATCAAAGTTTGACGCTAATTTTTGTGTCAGTTATCAATTATGACCCCCATTGGGCGCAGTAATTTGTATGGGGGGTCTCAAGTCGTATATCAATGTATGACGCTTTGTTGCCTAGTAATAAAGTAATTACGCTATTTCTCCCGCAGTAAATTATGTATGACGTTTGTTGCCAGTTAGTATTGATGTATGAGCATTTTTTGCCAGTAGTATATCAAATGTGACGCTATTGTCTGCTGTCGTTATAATGTATGACGCCTATTGTCTCCGGGATTATCAAGTAACGTATTGTTTGAAAGGGATATGAATGTGTGCCTATTGTCTGCCCCTCGTATTAAAAGTATGACGTTATTGTTGCGTCAGTATATAAAAGTATGAGCTTTTTTGCGAGGGATATAATTAGACATTGTCTGCCATCAGTATTAATGATGAGCTATTGTCTGCCGGTTTTATATGTATGGGCCCCATTCTGCAACGTATATCCCAATTTTTTACCTATTTTTCTGCTTCCTTTCAAAAGTATGCCTATTGTCTCCCTGTATATAAAGTTTTAAGCTTTGCTGAAGCAGTATATCAAATGTTATCCTATTTTTCTGCCGTCATATATATGTATGACGCTTGTCTGCTCAGTTATAAGTTGACTATTGTCTGCCGTAGTTATATTTTATGAGCTATTGTCTCCGTAGTATATCAATGTTGACCCATTGTCTGCTTGTATATATGTATACGCTATTGTCTGCTTTAAATATATCAAAGTTGACATATTGTCTGCAAATCGTATATGAAGTTGACGCTTGTCTGCCCCGTAGTATTCAAAAGTATGACCTTTGTCTGGTCGATATCATGTAGACGCTATTTTCTGCCCGACCGTTATAGTAGACCTTTGTCTGCCGGTTAAAGTACGCTAGTCTGCCTGTTTAAAAAATTTTATGACGCTTTGTCTGCCGCGTATATCAAAGTATGACGCTTTTGTCGCGCAGTTTCAATTTGACCTTTGTCTGCCAGTCAGTATATAAAAAGTTTTACGCTATGTCTGCCGTCAGTATATCATTTGACCTTTTGTCTGCCTCGTTTTAATTTGGGCGCTATTTCTCCGTCAGTATATCTGTATGCGCTTTTGTCTGCCATCCCAAATTTTAATGTTGAGCATTGTCTGCCCTCAGTATATAATGTATGGTATTTTTGGTCGTTTTTCAATTTGACGCTATTTTTCTGCCAGCATATCAATTTGACCTATTGCTGCCACAGTTATCAAATTTTGACGATTTTTGCCCAGGTATTTTAATGTATGACCATTTTCTGCCGCAGTATTAATGTATGACGTATTTTTGCCCGCAGTTATTAATGTATGACGGCTATTGTCTGCCAGACAGTATATGAATGTAATGACGGCTATTGGTCTGCCAGAGAGTCTATGAAATGTATGACCGCTAGTGTCTGCCAGACAGTAATATGATGTATGACGCGGCTTTTGTCTGCCAGGACAAGTATATGATGTATGACAGCTATTGGTCTGCCAAGACCAGTATGATGAAATGTATGACGCTATGGTCTGCCAGCAACAAGTATAAATGAATGTATGAACGCTAAATTGTCTTGGCCAGACAAAATATGATGTATGACCCGCTAGTTGTCTGCCAAGACAGGGTATATGAATGTATGACGCATTCTTGTCTGGCCAGACAGGTATATGAAGTATGAACGCTATTGTCTGCAAGTCAGTATAGGCAACATGTATGAACGCTATTGTCCCAAGACCAGTAAATATGAATGTATGGACGCTATTGTCTGCCAAGACAAGTCTATGAATGTATGACGCTAGTGTCTGCCAGAACAGTAAATATGAAATCGTATCGACGCCTATTGTCTGCCAGAACATATATGAATGTAATGACGCTATTGCTGCCAGACAGTATATGATGTATGACGCTAGTGTCTGCCAGACAGTATACTTGATGTATTGACGCTGAAAGTGTCTGCCAGACAGGTATAGTGATGTATGAACGCTATTGTCTGCCAGACAATGTATATGAATGTATGAACGCTATTGTCTGCGCAGTCAAGTAATATAAATGTATGAACCGCTAATTGTCTGCCAGAACAGTATATGATGTAATGAACGCTTATTCGGTCCTGCAAGTCAGTATAGCAATTTATGAAACGCTAAGTGTCTGCCAAGAGCAGCTATATGAATGTATGACCGGCTATTTGGTCTGCCAGACATATATGAAGTATGACGCTATTGTCTAACCAAGACAGTATACTGATGTATGACGCTATTGTCTGCCAGTCAGTTATAGCCCAAATGGTATGACGCTAGTGTTTGCCAGACAAGTATATAGAATTGTATGACGCTAGTGTCTGCCAGACAGGTAATATCAATGGTAATGAACGCTATTGTCTAGCCTGGTTCAGTATATGAAATGTAGACGCTATTGTCTGCCAGACAGTATATAATGAATGTATGAAACGCCTAATGTCTGCCAGACAGTATACTGAATGAAGTTGACGCTAATTGTCTGCGTAGTTCAGTATAGCAATGTTATGATCGCTAGTGTCTACCAGACAGTATATATGTAATGACGCTAGGTGGTCTGCCCAGATCAGTAATAATGAATGTTTGACTGCTATTGTCCTGCCAGACAGTATATGATGTATGACGCTTAGGTGTCTGCCAGACAGTATATGATGTTATGACGCTAGTGTCTGCCAGACGGTAATATGATATATAGAACCGCTAAGTGTCATGCAGACAGTATAATGAATGTATGAACGCTATTGTCTGTCAGACAGTATATGAATGTATGACGCTAGTGTCTGCCAGAGCAGTATATGATGTATTGACGCTATGTCAGTTATTAGCAATGTATGACGCTAGTGTCTGCCAGACAGTATATGAATGTATGACGATTGTCTGCGCAGTATATGAATGTCTGCAGACAGTAGTATAAATGTATGACGCTATTGTGTGCCAGACAGTATATGATGTATGACGCTAGTGTCTGCCAGACAGTATATGAATGTATGACGCTAGTGTCTGCCAGACAGTATATGAATGTATGACGCTAGTGTCTGCCAGTCAGAATAGCAATGTATGACGCTATTGTCTGCCAGACAGTATATTAATGTATGACGCTATTGTCTGCCAGACAGTATAGCAATGTATGACGCTATTGTCTGCCAGACAGTATATGAATGTATGACGCTATTGTCTGCAGTCAGTATATCAATGTAATGACGTTAGTGTCTGCAAGTCAGTATATGAATGTATGACGCTAGTGTCTGCCAGTCAGTATATCAATGTATGACGCTATTGTCTGCCAGACAGTATATGAAAGTATGACGCTATTGTCTGCTAGTCAGTATATGAATGTATGACGCTATTGTCTGCAAGTCAGTATATCAATGTATGACCCTAGTGTCTGCAAGTCAGTATATGAATGTATGACGCTATTGTCTGCCAGTCAGTATATCAATGTGTGACGCTATTGTCTGCCAGTCCGTCTATCAATGTGGGACGTTATTTTCTATAAGTCAGTATATATATGTAGGACGTCATTTTCTTCTGTCAGTCAGTATATTAATGTATGAGGCTTTTTTAAGCAACTCAGTATATAAATGTTTGACATTATCGTCTGCAAATTGGTACATCAATGTATGATGTCATTTTCTGCCAGTCAGTATATCAAGAATGTCGCTATTGTCAGTTAAAATATTTAAACGTGACGCTAGGTGTGTATAAATAAGTTTATTTATATTGGCCGCATCAAAATTTTATCATGTGGGCCAGTATTTTTCGCGGCACTTGCTGGTCCGGTCGCAGTAATTCCAAAATCAATGACGACTTTTCAAGTGAAAGAATCTATACCAACCAGTCTTTAAGCTGCACGTAACAGTGTCAAAATCAATGCACCGGTTTTTGAAAACTGTTGATATTTTGTTTAAAAGCAAGCACTTGTTGAAACACACTTGATCTTTTTAAAACGAAAATATAAAAGTATCATCAATATCTTGAAGGAGATCTTGAACTGTTTGAAAACTGCTCTAGTTTTGGACATCTGAGAAATCCTGGTCGGGAAACCGTACAATTTAATGAATACTATAATAACTTATACAATGTTTTCGTTTTTCAACAGCATACTATATACATGGAAAGCCTCGTTGAAAGGTAAATTAGATTTGTTTCGGCTTGGTTTCGACATATTTTCCGCTCCAACATTGTTTTCTTGTGTTTTCCCGTAGTACATGGTACGTATGTGACTAGAAAATGCGCAGGCGGCGGTAGGGGTATTTCCATCGACAACACTCCCATCCGTATTTTTGATATTTTATAGAATATTTCGTTACAATTTCGATGCAAGAGGAAAATTTGTTAATTTCGCTATGTTTATTAAATATAATAGTTTAGCTATTAACTAGAAAACGCATTTAACATATTGTAAACATGTATATTTTTTTCCTTACATGCTATATTTGTTATTCATTTATCAGCACATTCAAGCTACGATCGCGAACTCATATCCGTTATGAAAGTATGCGACCTACAATGTCAAGATGAAGTTTAATCACTCATTGTTTAAATTCATGGAAACAGTTTTAAATATAGATTTAACGCTTTGTTCCGGAAAATAAATTAAAACGAGGCTTGTTTCGCCTTCAGATATGCCGGTAGCTGTGAGCGGTTACTTTGTAAAATAAACTACAAAGTTGTGACACAATGTTTGTTTATTTATAACATATTCTTTCTTAAACAAAACAGCTATTTGTTATGTTACTATTTTGTTTGAAATTGTTTTGACAGTCTGTGAAATACTGGTGTACGCTCTTTGGAATACTTGCGATACAATCGAATGGATCCATAATATGGAATTAAATTCTCTGTTCAGGTATGTTACACAATTATGGTTAACTGAACGGACGTGATTGTCAAACATTACCATTATCTTTCAAATAAGGTATGTGTGTCGGAAGAGGGATGTATAAGGTATATGTGTTGGTACAGGGGTGAACGTGTGATTGGGTAGATGGCTGTGTGGATGGCAAGGTGCATGAATGATTGGGTAGTTGAATGGCTTGACGATGGACGGATTGATGATTTGGTAAACGGATGGATAGGTGATTTGGTAGGCAGATGGATGGGTGTTTGGGTAGACGGATGGATGGATGATTTGGTAGGCGGATGGATGAATAATTGGGTAAACAGATGGGTTGGTGATTGTGTAAACGGATGGATGATAAGAATGCTGATGAATTGATTTAAGCAATGGCTATATGTATATATTATATAACAGACTGGCTTACACATATATTGTAAGCACTGCACACTAATTCCATACATGACACAAAGTAGGAAACAAACTTAGCCTCAATTTATAAGTTTTGTTTATTACTCACCCAGAAGGCGTAAGACCTATGTGGTAAACCATACATATACATACTTATATGTGGACATGATAATGGGAGTCATATTTAGAGGCAATGATAACATTAACCAGAATATGAAGTAAAGTGTATCATAATTGTATTATATTACACTATGTATTTATTACACAGAGTCATATCATGATATACACATGTACAACAAATCAGCATGAAATAGACACAATCGTATATACTACTCAATCTTTAGACCAATTATCTTAGTGTGAATAGTTTCCGCAATGGTTTAATTACACCATACAACTGATTTTTATCACATACACGTGCAGTTTTTGCGACTCCGTAAACACGGTATTGTACAGCCGTACGTATATTTAGACGTAACGTCAAACTCCAAATCACCTTAATGTTCACAATTCTAAACTCATGAATTAGCGTTAGTGCTAAAGGCAACTGCTTGGTAACGTACTCTTATGTCCCTTTGTCATTTCGTACAGCCTTTGCTAGGTAGGCGCTCCATTCTTGCACCAACATGGCCTAAAACTCACCCATTTCACATGTACTCAATTGGATTCAGGACTTGCCAGTTAATGCGCTTAATACGCTCCATCTGTAGGTTGTCCCGGACAACCAGTGCCTTGAGGAGACATGCATTATCGTCCAAGGAAATGAAATGATCGTTTTATGTCCCTGCATACAGCATAATCTGGGTAACTAGCAGCTATCTCAACTATGTACCGCTGACCAGTCTATGTAGTAAAGTGACAGTAACATATCTCCATGTTGGTCTCGTTCACCTTACATGCTCCCTCGCCTATTCAAAACAGGCCTGGCGGTGAAGATGAGTCAATGGAATCTTTAAAAAAAGGTCTTATTGATCACAGATTATCCTCTTATATTCTTCTAAGCACAGTCGGGATACAAACATTGACCAAGAAGCATTTAGATGGTCATTACGTTGTACGGGCCCAGATCACGATACTACGGGCCTATCTAGAAGGTCATTAGTTGTAGCCCAAGATCACGCACTACAATCCTATCTAGAGGGTCATTATGTTGTAGCCCCAGATCACGCACGACGGGCCTATCTAGAAGGTCATTACGATGTAGCCCCACATCACGCATTGGGGCGTCCGTGGCCGAGTGGTTAAGGTCGTTGACTTCAAACCACTTGCCAAAACAAACAAACAAACATCACGCATTACGGGCCTATCTAGAAGGTCATTATGTTGTAGCCCCAGATCACGCACGACGGGCCTATCTAGAAGGACATTACGTTGTTGCCCATACCATGTACAACGGGCCTAGATAATCAAGAATGGATTTTGAAGCCTGATTTTAAACGGAATATCGTGCGTAGGCAGCAGACATGAAATCATTAAAAATTGTGATAGAGCCATATCAAGCCTCTGAAATCAGTACGATTATTGCCTTGGAAAAAATGGCAACCCTTTGGTTCAGAGCAAATTAGTTGTTAGATGCGTATCACATGCTGACAACCATGCTGAATGTTAAATTATTTGTCAGAAAAGTAGCAAACAACTGTGGGTTAGAAAGGACGTTCGCGTTTGTTTATGTTCCACACTAAATATCGCATCACTATATATTTTCTAATGGCTAAGAAGCATTAGAAGCAAAGATATAGTTTAACTATACGGCAAATGAGTATCGTGTTTTGTTTGTTTTTGTATTTTCTGATCGCAGATCAACAAATACAATGCTGAAATTCAATATCTCTAACAGCACTTCCCGACAATCCTAACAACAGAAAGTAGTTCTCAAAACAGCTTAATGATGAATATCATTTTAATCATAGAAGAGTGCTCGGCTATTTCCGTAAAGCTTCGGATAATTGTGATCGGAATTAAACGCCGCCTGAATGAACATTTGTTATTTATGCTTTCTGAAAAATAAAGTTAGAATGTTGACTCTCGTACAGGGACGAATTTAGGGCAGTCGACGATCGATAATCAATTTCTATCATAAGTAAGGGCCACACTAAAGCGCGTATTACACAAATAAAGCTGAAAGCGAGTACTGTAATATTATAATTATACCTGTTTGGACGAGAAGAATTTCGCTAAATTATTTACATCAGTGTTAAACAACAGGTTTACCGTATACAAAATATCTCGAAATTAAAAAGGATTACAAACCCTGATGAAAATTCTAAATTTAGAATAATTTGGTTTGCTTCAGACTTTTTTCTAATACTTGTAACTTCCCCGTGGTCCAGGAGTATCAAACTTGTTTAGGATGTGAGAGGTCTGGGGTTTTAATCCCAGTCTAAGTAGCTTAATAGTTTAAGTGTCTTTGTAGCAATTTTAATATTTTTTGTTAAAAAATTAGCTACGATATGCAAGGATAAATTGTGGCTGTCACAAAAAAGGTACATAAATGATTTCCAAATGTAAGTTAAAAAATCTAGTGATGCAAAATTCCGTATGTATCAAACTCAAACTGTTATAGCCAAAACATCTAAACGCTGTATATCATAATATACTTATACAGGAAATACATATAGATAAACTGCAAAGATCAGAAAAATACCACAGAGCTTGCAGCCCTTTGACTTTGTTTGGTTTTCCGTCGCACAACCAATGCAAAGATCATACGGCAAATTTCCAGCTTGACGGGTGCAGGAAGACCTCAGGTTTCTCTTTGTGCATTTTCTTAGACGAAGGACCATGTGAATATAACCAACTAAGTTCTGTTAGCTAGCTGGATAGAGATTTGCATTACAAGTCCCTGGAAGGATTTGAACCCACAGCGGTTAAGGACAAGTCAACCACTGGGCCTCCGACGTCCTGTCCAAAATCCTGTCCAAAATCTGTATGCATTCAATCCGAAACAAAAGAACGAGTTGGTAAACATTGAAGTTATGTAAAATAATAGTCAATGAACAAGTTTTAAACACAAACATACAGTTTCATTTCATGAAATGCCGAAATAACTGGACTGTCCGAGTTTTCGCATGGTCAAAAACGGATAGAAAATTTTGTGGAGTTGCCTATACATGTATAGGGACAGCGCTCCTTGTTTTCTATCCCTTTCCTGGTGCGGCGTCTCTCTCTCACACACAAACAAAAAACAAAGCTACATATATAATACAACAATGAATAAATAGATAAATACAAAATAAATAAAAATAATTAATTAATAACAAGAGGAGCGCAATGCTTTCGGGACCACGCGGCAACACGATGAAACATCTTGGGTTGAGGGCCATCTTAAATCATTGCTCAATCAAACTATTGAAAATAAATTATTGAATATTCGTTTTTGAAATGTTTGTGGATTGTTTGAGTAAATTACTTTCATTGTTTAATTCACAATATTTTTTTTTTACATTTTCAAAAATTTAATGAAAAAAGCACGAATCTGCTGTTTTGGAATAATTTCGGGATTGCAATTTTCAAAAGTTTTATTTTTATTTATTTGTCTCAAAGATAAGTGTTCGTAAAGTAAGATTATTATATAAATATTTTGATGTTTATTGAAGGAAATAATATAATTATGTAGCGTTAGATAACGTAGTACATTTATGATATTTGCCTTTGAATTGTTGTGTGACACACATAGTCATGCCTGTATGGTAAACAAAAGAGCTACATCTTTAGGAGGAGACACGTGCGAGTATATACGATAAATATACATAGAACAGCATTCTTTGATTTTCCATATTCGATACATAGTTAATAAGACAATACTATACATTTGTTGACACTTAAATCCGGTGAAATGCACTGACTCGGAATAACCGATAGAGCACTTTACCATAGACATCTCTGTTTTTGTCATTTACAGGCATACTATTTCAATGTGATAACAATCCAGATTCCTTTAATAAAATGATTCATAAACATATAATGGTTTATTCTATACCAAACTGAAATTTCACTAAATTTTGATACAAATAAGTCGTTTACTTTTAAAAAAATATCATAGTAAGATTGATATATTTAAGTATCAACCGTCATCTTGAACTCCACCTGATATATTTCAATGTGGCAGACGGAAAATAAGTCAGTACCAAGTATTTAAGCATAACTCAGTTGACCATTGAGATTTTGGAAACCCTAAGTGCGTTGATATGTAGTATATTTACGCACTTTGGGGTCAATTTCTCGAGTGCGCTGTGAAGTTTACCGCACTTAGGGGTCGGACCCCAAAGTGCATTTGACCCCAAAGTGCGATATTACAAAGGTGGAACTGGAGCTTCTATGGCCAGATAAATAAGGTCGCCGTAAGTTTTGATTCGGGCCAGGAAATTGAATGCATTTCATTATCGGAAGTCATCTACTTGATATACGGATCTTAGCAAGTGTTATACGAATATAGATTTACACAATTATTTCAAATGTACGTATTTATAATGATTTGTGTTGATTGTTACAATTAATGACGACTGTAGACCAGGAAGTTGACTAAGTTTTATATAAATGTAAGTCTAGCACGAAATTAAAGTTTATAATTTTCCATGAATAAGGCCAAAGTATGCCCCCAC